GATGCCGGCGGGATATGTTTGCTCGCCGGCGGGATATGGTTACTCTCAGGCGGGATATGGGGTTTCAGGAATGGGGCTGGCGGCGGGGATTGTGGGCGGCGCTGTTGGAGGGCTTCTCATCGGCGATATGATCTCCGGCGGGCTCGAAGCGGGTTCGGGCTTTTGAGGAGTCTTTGAATCAATTGGGGGTGAAATGTGTAAATACTCTGAGGGGAAGCATATAAATGCTGATTTGCTGTGGAGTTTGCTGCTAAACAATCCCTAACGTCGGTTTGTTTATACTTTCCTTTATTCCTTCATTCATTGATGTAATATAACTTTCCTATTTTTGAATTGGGTTAAATATACAAATAACATTTGCAATATTGGTATTTATCAAAGTAGCACTCACATAATTTCTTGAACTATCATGGACAAACATGCGCCACGATTAAATTTATTTAGAATTTGATAAAAATAAAGATATGAAAATATGAGTTATAGTTTTATCATGAAAAATGGCAGAAAAAAGTTGGTGTTAGTTTTATAAAAAGCAATGTTCAAGTGCTATGCACGTAATTACCATTTTTATATTTTATTATGATTTTGAAAGTATTTTGTTGATGTTTATTTGATGGATGGTGGTGGATTTCAAAAGTTTTAATGTTATTATCAATTAATGTTGTTGGATCCTAAATTGTTCTGCGGATCATGCCTAAAAGATGGAGTGTTAGTTTGATGGAAAAGATAAGTAAGAAGATTTGAACAATTTGTATTTTTGCAAGAATTATTTTTACTTCTTGAGATTGATCATCCTATTTATAGTTCATGGATAGGATCTTGTAGGTTACATGATTGTCTCCATTTCAGAAGGGAACATTACAATGATTAATGACTCGTTGCATTTAGGCACTTGTAACTAAATAATATTTATTTTGACCCTGTAATTGTTGTTAGTGTTGTTGTGTTCATGTAATCACATTCATAACTGCCCAATTTGGTTGCTCGGAATTCGTTCAGTAGGCCTGGATTCATTCAGTTGACCCCACATTCCTTGGTCGGTTTCAATGATTTTCGATCGCTCATTATGTGTAGACTAAATGTGAAAACACATTGTCCTTAAGTAGGATGGATTATTTTATCCAGCTGATGGTGAATCGTCGTAATCCAACAAGCAACCTATCTTTGGTCAATATATCTATATTGAAGTACTTCATTCCGGGCGACTGCTAATTTTCATGATATTAATTACTAGGAAGTGGGTACTGATGCGGCCATGCATTGTTTGATGGATCGTTCGTTCCCATCATTCACTCGTCCTGTGTTACCGGCCCACCGTTTGGATGCATGATTAATCTCTTTCATGTCTCCAATTATTTCTCCTCGAGGTTCATGTAAGTAAGTGCATTCCAATTGTACAAATATAATGACTAATTTTCTGTTAAACTTTTTCTTATGACATCATCTATATACTTGTTTTTCTTATGACTCCAATTTTCAACAAAATTTGACGTATGAGAATCAAAATTATTATTAGTAGAAAACAGAAAGTCATGTTCAACTTTTTTTTTTTTTTTTTTAAGATGAATGTAATACTACATAAATATAACCAATTCTTTTGTGTTTATATATATCACTTAAAAATTGATATTTATATTTATAACATTTTGGTGTCATGAAACTATGCATAAAAGTTGTAATTCACTTTTAAAAAATTAATAGTAATAATATTTTTGATGTGATATGAAAGAGATTTGAGTGTTATAAATGCAAATATGAAAATTTAGTGTTTATTTATGTAAATACATAAGAATCGTGCGATATGCATGGAAATGCCCCTTTTTAAATTCATTTTATTCAAACTTTGTTAATAAACTTTTACTCAGTTTCTCTCTCTCATAATATTATGATGGGGGATGTAATTATTTCATACGGACACCGCATGCAGAAACCGATCTCCATTGTCAATCACCGCAAAAATTATTTTGGTGGGACCCATTTTTAACTTTTTTTAAAAAAAAAAATGATCCACCGTAGAGATCGGTGATCGACGGTGGTGATCGGACACCGCATGCATTTCCGTATGAAATAATTTCTCCTTATATAATAGTATAATAAATGGAGATAAAATTCTAGAATCCTATTCATTCATTCACCTTATTAAATGTTGAGATTGATCCTTTTTTGTTTTTTTCAAATTATTGTAATTAAACAATGATTTTTAGCTATGTAAATTAGTTGATTGGGCTGTAACAATTTAACCTCCGAATTGTCTTGATAATTGGACTTTTGTAATCCTATGGCGCTTAAGCGAAGTTCAAAAATATATTCGTCTTGATTGTCGTTCTATTATCGTGACATTTGTACTTTTCTTAAGGGCACATTTTTTCCGGGTAAAATGAGGGCTCGAATTTAGCGTTTTGTGATTCTTCATTTCGCTTCTAACTAATCTACTAAGCATTCGAGCACTCAATTCACATCTTAGGTGACCGCTAGAATCATATTTAATTTTATTAAATGCTCCTATTTTGCTTTACTTATATTTTTACTTAAAAAAAATATTTTGGGCATATATTTAGCTGTTTTTAGATATTTTGAGTATTTTGAAATTAAGCTAATTTATTTTAAATGTATATATACACACAGAGAGAGAGAGAGAGAGAGAGAGAGAGAGAGATGCAAAGACATATAAGGTAAACAGCAATAGAACTGGCAATCATTGTTTTATTCACTAGCTTGTTCAATTAGCAAGTCCAATTTAGAATTAACATTTTGTCTGTAAATGTAACTTGAAATTTGTCTTATTCACTAGCTATGGAGGTGAAAATGCAGTTTATAGTTGTAATTGCTATTGTAATCACTAATGATTTTTCTATTGTTGTAAATCTTATTTTCTTGTGTTATGCTCTGGTGTTGAAGTTTGAGTTTGAAGTTAGGATTTTCGTCTATTGTTGTATTTTGGAGTCTCTAACTTCAATTTTTGTTATGAATATGGTGATGGTTTGTAGTTCCTAATGAAAACCATCCTTAGATTATTATATATTCTGGTTGATGAAGATTAAGACCATATTGTAGTTTTGTTCATTATGTAAGCATTATGTGCATGCTAGATGAAACCTATTGTATCTTATTAAGCATTTGCAATAAATGATGTTTATGTTTTCCAGACATCCTTTGTAAGAGCATAAAATAACTACGGCAGCAAAATTGATTTGCACGCGGCTTGTATTCTTTAGGCAAAGTTTCACAAATATGGCAGCAAAATTCAGTATCAAGCCCTCTTAGACAAACAAAACCTTTTGATCTTAGCCAAAAAAAGGGATGTAACTTCAAGCTTCGCAAGTTTCATTTTGCCGCGGTCATATCTATTTCTATTGTGATTGTTAACTCCTAAAACTTCTTTAAATTTTTCAACTACCAAAAACTACTTATTCTTATCCATCACTTACTTTTAGGGTTGTAAACGAGCCGAGCTTGAGCGAGCTCATGCTGGGCTCGTGTTCTGCTCGTTCGAAATAGCTCGTGTTCGAAATCGGCTCGTGAACAGTGTGTTCGTGTTCGGCTCGATTTAAATATTTGTGTTCGTGTTCGGCTCGAAATTGGTTCGTTAAACTAAAATTGAGAAAAATAGATGTAAAGTTTGGGATTCGAATCTGGATCAAATTTATACAAAAGAAGACACTAACTACATTGCCACATGAGGTGTTATGATTTAAACTTAGACATAAATATATATAATATATTATTATATAAATAATATATGTAATATATTGTTATATAAAAAGTTATATAATTTTTTTTTCGAGCAATTTCGAGCCAAACACGAGCGAACAAACTGTTGTTCATGTTCGGCTCGTTTACATTTCGAACTTAAAAATTTGTTCGTGTTCGGCTCGTTAGGCTTAATGAACGAGCCGAACACGAGCTGCTTAACGAGCCGAACACGAGCTGTTCATGAACAACGAGCCAAATTGACAGCCCTACTTACTTTGTTCTAACTACTCACAAAATGGCCATATAGACAAAGACGAAGTAAGAATTGATAGGAAAATAAATTCTTTCGTGAGACAAAAATTGATGTTAAGTATATGATTTGCATGTTGTGAAGATGACATCTAAAGCTAACTCTGTTTTTTTGAGTTATTAAAAGATTTGAAAAGGAATATCATGCTATTTAGAATAAATTTTTTTATGGAAAACCTAACTAATGAGAATGAGGTTTAGACTAATAACTCATATCATACAAAAAGTACATTGTATTTGCATTATAGTACCTTTTTTTTGCTAAAATTGTTAGTATGTAACTCTGTCATTTATCCCATTTTCTTTCAAGCTATTTCACACTAATTTTAATTGTTAATTTTATTAGTTTGTGGAGCAGAACTATCTAATTTATATAGATTATCAATTAAAGAACTTGTACCAATAATTTGTAACATTTAAAGAGAACATTTTTCATTCTCAAATGAACAAGAACAATCAAATTTGTCCAGACAAGGAATATATATTAAAATTGTCCTAGATATTGGTATATAAAAAAGTACCATACAAATGTAAAATAAAATTAGATTCTAGAGATATTCTATATAAGTATATAGCTTCAACAAGAGCTTTATTTTTATTTCTCATATAATGACTTTCAACATCAGTTAGCGTTCACCTCCTTATACAATCCTGCGTAGTCACAATTATGTAAGTAGTGACGCATTGATGTATCCACTAAGTATGATTTGATACTAATACAACAACAACAACATGTCTTTATCCCAGTAAGTGGGGTTAGCTGAATGAATCTTTTTTCTCCATTGCTTTCTATTGAGTGTCATATTTTCATTTAATTCTAATAAATTAAGAATATTTTTTATACAATATGCCGAAGTTTTTCTAGGTCTACCTCTATCTTTCTTAACATAAGTTAAATCTAAAAC